TGATACATTTTCTATAACATGTAAAGAAAGATATTGTACTTGTTTTAAATTGAAATAATAAATAAAAAAAAGAATCCATTAAAAAAAAAAAAAAGAGTGGAAAGTTCTGTTTCTGACTATAAGAGACTCTGTGCCAAGTTTTGTCTTGCTCTGCGTTTGGAAACTAGTTATCTGGCAGCTCTCCAAGCGAGATAAGGTTCGTGTAGATAAACATTCCTCGGAAAGGCTGTTTGCTAAGCCTTGGGGACAAAACCTCTGGTCGTGGTGATGGGCCCAGATTGGAACCTGCTTTTGTGGCCCGCCAGGGGCCAGAGAAGCTGGCAGCAGAGTCGGACAGTGAGGAGGTTGGGGAGGAACCTGGGCCAGTCCTGGAGGCTGGAGAAGGCTCGGACGAGGACTCCGAGGGGGCCGAGGCCGTCTGGCAGTTCTCAGCTGCCTTCGCAGCTTGACAGCAGCGAGGCAGAGGAACAGCTGGAGCCTGTTCCCAGTGTGCGCATGCACAGAGCTGCCAGGAGAAGGGAACAGCTAAAGAACAGAGGTGGACGGTGAATGGCCCCTCCCAGAGGGGATAAAAGAGGAGCAAATGGGGAGTGGAGTTTGCAGGAGGCACTTAGTTCATTCCAAGTATTGTGACGTCTGAAAGATCTCGGCCTGGCCACTCTCCAAGCCTGATCAAGGTCGGTAATTGTGAACTCTCTCGAAAGACGGTAGGAGAGGAAAGACTTCGCTGGAGAGGAATTCGCTGTCAACTCAATAAAAGGGGTTTATCGGGACGAGGACTCGGCTTCGTGCTGCTGGGGAAGCCGAGGTCAGAACACTCACCTGGATTTTCTCCAGCACCGCTCAGCCAAAAAGGCACCGCCGCACTCACCTTAACGAAGGTGTTGACCGCCATGATGGCCATGTCGGGCTGACTCTTGGCGTAGTTCATCAGATACAGGTAAACAAGCTTCTTCAGCTCCAGGTTATCGGTCTGCATGCAGTTGACCACGTCGGGGAAAAGGGCGCTGGGAGCAGAAACGGAAGGTGGGTTGAAGGATCATTCCCGCGTCTTGAGAACAACACGGGGACTCCTCGACTTACAACCGCGACGGAGCCCAACATTTCCCGCTGCTAAGCAAGACCAGGTTTCTCTGCCAATATGGAACCTTGAGTATCCATGATAGGTAACGGTTCGCTCTCCCCCCGCCCAGCCACGCCACCATTTCAGAAAAATTAAATCCAGCTCAAATGATATTCTGGAGTGCTGAAATTAAATATATAAAGAGCCAGTTTGGTCTGGCGATTAAGACCGCAGGCTAGAAGCCAGGAGACGGGGAGTTCTAGTTTGGTTTTAAGCATGAAAGGGGCTGGGTGACTTTGGGCCAATCACCAGGAGACGGTGAGTTCTAGTCCTGCCTGAGGCATAAAACCCAGCTGGTGACTTTGAGCCAATCGCCAGGAGACTGGGAGTTCTAGTCCCGCCTGAGGCATAAAACCCAGCTGGGTGACTTTGGGCCAATCGCCAAGAGATTGGGAGTTCTAGTCCCGCCTGAGGCATAAAACCCAGCTGGGTGACTTGGAGCCAATCACCAGGAGACTGGGAGTTCTAGTCCCGCCTGAGGCATAAAATCCAGCTCGGTGACTTTGGGCCAATCGCCAGGAGATGGTGAATTGTAGTCCCGCCTGAGGCATAAAACCCAGCTGGGTGACTTGGAGCCAATCACCAGGAGACTGGGAGTTCTAGTCCCGCCTGAGGCATAAAACCCAGCTGGGTGACTTTGGGCCAATCGCCAAGAGATTGGGAGTTCTAGTCCCGCCTGAGGCATAAAACCCAGCTGGGTGACTTTGGGCCAATCACCAGGAGACTGGGAGTTCTAGTCTCGCCTGAGGCATAAAACCCAGCTGGGTGACTTTGAGCCAATCACCAGGAGACTGGGAGTTCTAGTCCCGCCTGAGGCATAAAACCCAGCTCGGTGACTTTGAGCCAATCGCCAGGAGACTGGGAGTTCTAGTCCTATCTGAGGCATAAAACCCAGCTGGGTGACTTTGGGCCAATCGCCAGGAGACTGGGAGTTCTAGTCCCGCCTGAGGCATAAAACCCAGCTGGGTGACTTTGGGCCAATCACCAGGAGACTGGGAGTTCTAGTCCCGCCTGAGGCATAAAACCCAGCTGGGTGACTTTGGGCCAA